TAATTTGTAACCTGGACACATAAGAGCAGATTGTGTTTCTATCTTTCAACTGAGCATGATTATTAGTGGAAACATTTTAACACAATTACTTGCGGCTTTCCTTTACATACAGTCACAGTCTCAAAAATTATCACACAGATCAGATGTGAACTTCAAAGGGCTGACAACGTATTATGCAAATAGCAAATCAACGAGTGTCACACTCACTTTCGTATTTAAAGGGGAATTTGAAAGTGATTCAGAGTATTTTAGTTAACATTTACTAATTTCCTCAAGACCCTGTTACATTTGAAGTTGAACTGCATTGTCCTGTGTTAGAAAGTCTGATAGGAAGACCGTGAACAAAGTGTGACATGGTGATTGGTTTATTACCAAGTATCAAGAATGTGCAGTTTATAGTGTTATATTCAGACATAATTGAACTTCAATAAAGCCTTTGTCATAACATCTAATTTTTAAAATCAGCATTGCTCTGGCAGGTATTTTGATTGTTAATTTCCGGCCCTGCACTCCCAACCATCTTGTATTCACGTACTTAAACCATTGCACAGCACATACGGCTAAAAGCATGCAATTTTTTGGAATGAAAGCTCCCGTTTTGGCATTTCTTTCACCTTTCAGTCTATTTAATCTTCATCCAATTACAGGCACATTTTGAGGTGGTGTGGTGGGTTATTGTTTGATCTCTAAGATTATTTTGTATCCATACTCCCCCTTTCTTTTTTGCCTGACAGATCTATTCTTAAATCTCTCCTCTTTTTTCATCTTGATAGTTTTCTTTTTCTCTCTATTTCTTCTATATCGATGACTCCATATATAGAGAGAGAGATTTATAGATTATCTCCTCGGTTCGAATTTCTGCTGGTTTCAAATGACATAGATGTTTGGTGATTTATTATTATTATTATTATTATTATTATTATTATCATTATTATTATTATCATTACTATTATTATTATAATCATTTGCTTATGGATTCACTAAAAGTACCAGTCACATTAATTATTAGTGTTAATGACATAATAATTGTTTTTAATATTCTTTAATTTATTTAAGGGGCATTAAAATTTTCTTGGCTAGTTCTTTTCCCACTTTTCTGACATTCCATCGGAGAACATTTTTTTTTTTTCATGAATATGTTTTCTTTTTTCAGTGGTGTGAGGCTCTTACTTAAAGTATTTCCAATACTATAATTGTCTTAAAATATTTTTTTACAGTAGATCTATTCGAAAAACACAACACTCATTCCAAGTTGGAAACCAGCATGTGCATGAGGCCTGCATGGCAATTATGATACAAAGAAACAGGGCGTGATGCACTAACTCTCCAAGGAGTTGTTCAGCATCAATCAAATGGAAAGTTCTGGGTAGTTTTTCAGTAGACCAATGGGGAGTGTGTGTGTGTGTGTGAGAGAGTGTGTGAGTGTGTTTGTGTGAGTGTGAGTGTGAGTGTATGCGTGTGTGCGTGTGTGTGTGTGTGTGTGTGTGTGTGTTTGGAGAGAAACAGAAACACAGAGAAAGAGACAGAGACAGAGGTGGCACAGGCTCAGTGTGTCAGGCTCCAGTCCACACACACACCTGTTGTTCTCATTTGTCCTGAAATAGCAGATAACACACACTTTTTATCTTTTGATGTAAGTCAGTACCATACAGCTAATTATACCAAAGGAAATGTACACAGTTATAACATACACCCTCACAGCCTGGCTAATTAACTTAACGTTCTAAAGGAGGAAACTTCCAGTTATGCAGGATGAACAAGGTCTAGAGATCTGCCCTACAATACTGCATTCGTGGTTAAGAATCCTGTGTCATGAACTTAAATTGTGTTACTAGGGAGACCTCATGTTGAGTGTCTTTACAGTAGTTAAAAAACATTCCACCTGAAATTCACCATTCCCTCACCTTCTGTTTTCTGTTAAATGTCAGTCCACAAGTTGCAGATTCTGATTCTGAAATCAGTGGGAGTCTGGGTTCCTGAGTGACGTTATGAATCAGACACCTCTTCTCACTGCAACTTCCCTCCTGAGCATGTTAGAATAGAAATGAGCAAGATGTAGATCTTTGTTCTTGTACCTTATTCCACTGAGATGCTGGGCTGTTTCTCCATGAGGTAGAGCATCCTGATAAGTTCTCCTGGACAAACAGAGGTGGGCAACTAGGACAACGTACAGTCAGCTGAAGGTTTGAAAAAAAAAAAAAACTGAAATACAGATGCACATACACAGAGTTATTTCAAATCTCCTCTCTGATAATTCCAGAATCTCTGTCATATCATATTCTGGTTCTAATACTTGCTTTATCACTTCAGGGTATTTGTTTTTTAATCAAATCCTGTTTTTTAACAGGAATTTTTATTTTTGATAAAACTCCAACACAATGTAGGAGTTAACAGGACCTGAAGAATCATCCCCAAATTGCCCATCAGCAGCTCCTGTCCTGTCATTCATTCAGGACACTTGAAGGGCTGTCCCTCCTTGAAAAGGAGCTGTCCTTGGGACAGACATGGAGCTGCCAGGGGCAGACAAATCACAGCATCCAGCCCAGCCCCTGGCCTCTCTCTCTGTGGTGTTCAGTCATCCAGAGAGTGATGCCCACAGACATGGACTGGCTCTCATGCCCACAGACAGGTGCACATCAAGGGAAAATATGTTTTGAAAAGTTTAGTAATGGGGATATTATTACTGCTTTCATGTTAACCATTGTAATTGATTTTATTTTTGATATCTGATGAGATGGTTCGATTAAATGAAGATTCAAATCCATAAAGTGTGGTGAGAAATGAATTTAAGTTTGGATAAACAGGAATGACCATGGAATGGAGGCATTTGAGATTTTGCTGTTTCCCAAACATTGAGGATCAGTTACCTCAGTAATGCTCAGGGCACCATTTTCTGCAGAGTCTCTGTGGTTCTAATGTGGTGCATCTTGTATGCCAGGATGGAAAACATAAGGCAGGCATGAAACTCATGTAACAACAATATAACAAGTAACAAGTTCTCAGGTGTGATGAGAACCACAGCACAAGAGAGGTCCAGGGAAAGAAAGCAGGGGATGTCCTGGGATCAGAAATGTACAAGCAAGACCCAGAGCCTGAGTTCATGTGGCAGAGCTGGGCTGGGTCCAAGTCAGCACAAGAGAACACAAGGGTAGAAGGAATTTAGATCTGGGATCAGAAAGCTGGGGACACATTTTGGCATATTGAAGCTCACTAAGTTCCCTCCCATACCATAAATACATGTCACAGAATTTCAAGGAAAGTAACACATAATCATTTCAAAAAATACAATCGAACCCACCTCAGTTCCTCACCGCTTATAAGGACATAGCTCCCCCACATGCAAATTTTCCTTCAAGCTCCAGGGTAAATGTAGACTCAGGGGTGGTGGAAGCTCACAGGTCTGTCCTCAGACAGGGCTCAGGTCTCTGGGGAAGGCAGAGTTGAGATCTAATTGAAGATGAGATTGTGGGGTCTTCTCCTTTGCCTGGTGACAGCTCCCCAAGGTGAGTGTCTCAGATGTCACACATGGATTATGGGAATTTTGTGACTCCATGTGACTGACAGGTTCTGATTCTCCTTGTCTCCAGGTGTCCTGTCCGAGGTGCAGCTGCAGGAGTCGGGCCCAGGACTGGTGAAGCCCTCGCAGACCCTCTCCCTCACCTGCACCGTCTCTGGTGACTCCATCACAACCAGTGGTTATGGTTGGAACTGGATCCGCCGGCCCTCAGGGAAGGGGCTTGAGTGGATGGGATACATTACTTCCGGTGGCAGCACAAGTTATAATCCGTCCCTCAAGAGCCGCACCTCCATCACCAGAAACACGTCCAAGAACCAGTTCTCCCTGCAGCTGAGATCTGTGACCGACGAGGACACAGGCGTGTATTTCTGTGCGAGAGACACAGTGACAGGAAGTCAGCGTGAGCCCAGACACAAACCTCCCTGCAGGATACAGGAGAGGTCTGGGCTGCAGGGGGCGCTCACGGCCCACCCAGCTCCTGTGCCCCATGGAGCAGGTGCAGAGAGGGTTTGGGGATTCCTCTTGGGATCTGAACTTTCCTCTGTTCTGCTGACTCTCAGATGCCCCCCAGGGTCATTTCCTGCTTTGTTATTTTTGACTCTAATTTCTCATGTTCTCACTGCAGGGAACACAGAGTGAAGTAACTTTCCTCATGTGCAGATGAGAAGGTTCTTTTCACTGGGGACTTTTCTTTCTCAAGTTTTCTCATGACTTGTTTTTTTCTTGACACACAAATCTTTAGGATCTAGTATTATTTTCCCGAGACTTTAGATCAGTCCAGTAGAACCCGGTCCTTAAATCAGCATTTTTCCCTAAATAAAGTGCAGCTACACCCACGTGGCTATTATCATCCTACAGGACCCCTGCCCATGGTGTCTCTATCATCAATGAGGCAGTTTAGCCTCTGGATCCTCATCCACACTGTGGACACTTTTTCTCAGTATTTATCCCTCTCTCTGTCCATTCCTCAGTGTCCTGGATGGAGAAGCAGATGCCTGAGAGGGCCACACACAGCTCTGATATTTCCATGTGGAAGATTCTGAGTGACAAGCACAGAGAAAAAAACCCAGCAGAGCCCTGCTGGGCTGAATTTTGGGCTCCGTGTCTCAGTGTAGCCTTATGACCTGTGACCTAAGACTTAACTCTCAGTTTCCATGGGGAGAATCCATGTGGATAATGAGAACCAGCTGACAGAGTCCTGAGTCCTGCCCACTCTCTGCTGTCCCCCACGTGTCCCAGAGACACTCACCCTAGTGTCGCCCTCTGTCTTCTCCCATGTAAATTCTCACCTGATCTGTCCCCACACACTCTGTTCCACAGGTCTAGAGCCCCGCTCAGTTCCTGTCAACTCTCCCTGTGCAGGTGCAAATCAGAGGCTCAGTGATGAGGATGAGCCATGAAGGCAGAGACGTCACTGTGGTGCAGAGCAGGGAACCTATGGCTCGTATGTGTTTCAGGAAATGAGGAAACTCCACATGTAGAGGAGGTGGAACAACAGCATGATCTAGGGGACAAACACGGACAGGCTGGATTCATTCACTGAAAACTTTGTCCCTGCAAATGACTATGTAAAGAGGATGATACAAGGAAAATGAAATGAGATGAATGGGTTCAGAACCATGCCAAGCCTGACTGAAGCTGTGCAACATAACGCATTAACTGCACGTCTACCCCCCCCCCGTTTCTTTGCTGTCTGATGTCATTGCGCATGTGCCCCCAGGTGTTCCTTGTTTACCTGACTTAAGTGAAAAGGACAATCTGTTCTGATCCACACTGCCTGCCTGGACAGCCCCTCACCTTGTTGGAGGCCACCAGGCCTCTGCTGCTGCCGGATCTTCTATAAGCTGCTGCTGCCGTGTGGGCTGGGGCTGAGCCCACATCAGAATGAAGGCCACCATTTTTGCCAATGGCTCCCAGGATCTTTTCCAATTACCTGGTTCATGACCTGATTTTGAGGGATCTGTGATGCAGCCTGTGTGTCATATGAGGTGTCTCTGACCCAGTCTGTATATGAGGGTTCCACAACCGTGTCTGCATAAAGGGTTGGAGAGGTCTGTGACTCAGTCTGGACAAGACGTTTAAAGGGTCTGGGAGCCCAAGCCTGACAGGATGACTAGACAAGCCGCAGACTCCATAAAATGTCCCCTGATGTCCTTGTTTTTGTCTCCTCTGTGGACTAAATTTTCATGGACACTTCTTAAGTAGTGTCTAAGGTTCATGTGGTGTTAGAGTTTTTCTCTGTCATGATACAGAATCCGTGTTGATGTGGGTAAGGTGTGGGGTAGGGGAAGCAGTGCACAGTCCTATGATGAGTTCTGTCCTTTAGTGAGTGGTGTCATTGGTGGGACCTTCCCAAGTGCTTCTCCCTTTACCCTCTCTTAGTGGAGACAGCAAGTCTCTTGGGGGAGTGAGAGGGGATTCTTTTTTTCTCTTCTCTCAGAGAGACAGACTGACACACAGAGGTGACACGTGCTTAGCGTGTTAGTCTCCAGTGCACACCCCAACTTTCTCCTTCATTCTGAAGAAAACACGTAACTTACGTTTTTGCTATTTTGATGTAAGTTAGAGCATATGATTAATGATGTGTATGGAAATGTGCACAGATGCCACATACACACTCGCAGCCTGGCTCTTTAAATTAAAGTTGAACATGTATAACATTTCAGTTCCACAGGAGGAACAAGCGCCAACACTGGGCCCAGCATGACCAATACTGTTCTGAGCACTTACAATGTGTAAATAGAGTAGAGCTCATGTTGAGTGTCTTTACAAAAGAAGTAAAAAAATAGTCCATCTGAAATTCAATATTCCCTCTTCTTCTGTTTAATGTGACATGAAGGGCTGTCCCTCCATGACATGGACCTGCCCTTGGGACTGCGAGGGAGCTCCCAGGGGCTGACTCAGCCAAGTGTCCAGCCCAGCCCCTGGCCTCTTTCTCTGTGCTGGGCAGTGACTGCAGTCATGGTGTGGCCATCGTGGACCCCAGCACATGTTCATCAAAGAAAAGTATGTTATTAAAGTTTCATGCTGATTAATGATATTCAGTATCATTTTGTGCTTGCATGGTGACAATTGTAATTGATTTTTTTAAGCTGGGATATCTAATGAAATTGTAGTATTAAAGGAAGGATTAATATACATAAAATATGGATGAGAACTGAATTATATTGGGAATGTTTACACTTTGGATGCACAGGAATCACGTTGTGAAAGGGGCATTTAAAAGAGTCTTTATGTCTTTCAGAAACAGTGAAAATCAGTGTACTGAGTAAGGCACAGGGCACCAGTTTTTGCAGAGTCTCCCTGGGTTCTGCTGTGCTCTGTCATATATCACAGGACAGAGAGCAATGGGCAGGCCAGAAACTCATGGAACAGCAACAATGTTACAATGTAACAAACTCTCATGCGTGATGAGAACCACATCAGAGGAGCAAGTACAGGGAAAGAAAGCAGGGGTTCTGCTGGGATCAGTGCTGGGACGTAAGAGGAAGAGCCTGGGTTTATGAAGGAGAGTTGGGCTGCAGCAAGACAGCATGGAAGGCAGGGGTTGAAGGAAGGTAGATCAGGGCTAAGTAAGTTGGGGACACCTTTTGGAATGTATCAAAATCTCCAAGGTCTCTTCCAGTCCAAGACTGTATGTCAAATAATTTTAAGTAAAAGAAAAAAAAATACATATTACAGGCAATGTGCCTCACCTAAGTTTATAATCACTTATATGAACAAAGTTCCCCTCATGACAATTTTCCTTCAAGCTCAAGGGTAAATGCAGACACTTGGGCTTTGGAAGCTCACAGGTCTGTCCTCAGACAGGGCTCAGGTCTCTGGGGAAGGCAGAGTTGAGGCCTAATAGAACATAAGATTGTGGGGTCTTCTCCTTTGCCTGGTGACAGCTCCCCAAAGTTAGTGTCTCAGATGACACACATGTTTCTGTGGGATGGTTGTGACTGCACACGACTTACAGGGATAGAGTTTCCTTGTCCCAGGTGTCCTGTCTCAGGTGGAGCTGGTGGAGCTGCAGGAGTTGGGCCCAGGACTGGTGAAGCCCTCGCGGACCCTGTCCCTCACCTGCACAGTCTCTGGTGACTCCATCACCAGTGGTTATGATTGGAAATGGATCCACAAGCACTCAGGGAAGGGGTGTGAGTTAATGGGATACATTAGTTCTGCTGACAGCACAAGTTATGTCCCATCCCTCAAGAGCCTCATCTCCATCATCAGAGATATGTCCAAGCTGCATTTCTCCCTGCAGCTGAGCTCTGTGACCTCCAAGGACATGACTACATATTACTGTGCGAGGGACAGTGAGGGGAAGTCGGTGTGAGCTCAGACACTAACCTCTCTCAGGATACAGGAGGACTCTGGGCCGCAGGGGGCGCTCAAGGCCACCCAGCTCCTGTGCCTCATGGAGAAGGTGCAGAGAAGGGATGGGGGGCTTCCTCTTGGGATCTGAGGTTTCCTCTGCTCTGCTGACTCTCAGATGCCCCTCAGGGTCGTTTCCTGCTTTGCTGTTTGTGACTATCTTTTCTCACATTCTCACTCCAGGCATCACAGAGTGAAGTAACTTTCCTCATTTACAGATAAGATGTTTCCATTCACTGAGAACTTTATTTTCTCAGGTGTCAACATGACCTGTTCTCTTTCCTGACACACAAATCATTGTAAGGATTTTTATCTTCCCCTGATCAAGAATATGATGATTCACATTCCTCTGGGTATATACAAAGAAGGGTGATTGCTGTATCATATGGAAGATCTATCTGTATTTGTGTGAGAATCCTCCGTACTGTTTTCCCATGTGGTGGTACTTATTTACAGTCCCACCAACAATACAGGTGTGTGTCCTTCTCTCTACACCCTTGCAGTCTTTGTTATTCACTGTCAAGTTGATTATCGCCAGTCTAACTGAGGTGAGGTGGTATCTCAATGTAGTTTTAATTTGCATTTCCATGATGACCAGTGATATTGAGCATTTTTTTCATCTACCTGTTAGGCATTTGTATGTTTTCCTGTAAAACATACCTATTCAGCTACTTTGCCTGTTTTTTAGTTGGGAGTTATTTTTTAAATATATTAGTGTATAGTACTGGACGTACTAGCCAGACTAATCAGACAAGAGAAAGAAATAAAGGGAATCCAGATTGGAAAAGATAAAGCCAAACTGTCTCTATTTGCAGATGACATTAAACTATATATATATATATATAATAAAGACATTATCAAAAATCTCCTAGAGTTGGTTAATAACTTCAGTGATGTTGCAGGATACAAAATAAATTCCTCCAAATCATTTGCATTTATACACTCAAATAATGAGCTAACAGAAAGAGAAATAAAGAAATTATACCCATTTCCAATTGTCAGGAAAATAACAAAATACCAGGGATCAATTTAAACAAGGAGGTGAAAGACCTCTACAATGAGAACAACAAAACATTTCTGAAAGAAGTTAAAGAAGACACAAAAAGATGGAAAGATATCCCTACTCTTGGATTGGAAGAATTAACATTCTGAAAATGTCTGAAACACCCAATGTGATCTACAGATTCAATGCAATCTCTATCAAAATAACCATAACATTCTTCACAGAAATGGAAAAAAACAATCTTACCTTTCACATGGAACAAAAAGGCCCTGAATAGCCAAAGCAATCGTGAGCAAACAAAATAAAGCCAGTGGCATAACACTACCTGACTTCAAATTATACTACAGAGATATTGTAACCAAAACAGCATGGTACTGGTATCAAATTAGACACTCAGACCAGTGGAGCAGAACTGAGAACCAAGAAATCACCCCTCAGGCTTACAGCCATCTGATCTTGGCGAAAGGCACCAAAAGTCTACATTGGATAAAAGACTGCCTCTTCAAAAAGTGGTACTAGGAAAACTGGATATCCATATGCAGGAGAATGAAACTAGACATGCATCTCTCACCAAACACTAATATCAATTCATAATGGATTACATACTTAAGCTTAAGGCCTGAAAATGTAAAATTACTAAGGGAAAATATAGGTGAAACACTTCAGGAAC